CAGCGGCGCGCGCCGGGACCGGCGGCGTGCGCGCGCGCCGGGCGGGATCAAAGCGCGCTTGTTTCGCGGCCGTGTCGCCCCGGTACCGCCCGCTGCTTTGTTGTTTTAAGCCAGGAATAGCGGCAGTGCGGCGCGTTTTAATCGCGCTCCCCCGCGCGGCGCGGCTGCCAGGTCGGCCCGGAGCTCCGCGGACCGCGGCCATCAGGCGCACTGCCAGCGCCGCCAGTGGCCTCCGTAGCGCCAGCGCAGACGCTAGGGACTGGCTCGGCAGTTGTGCGGGGCGCAGACGCCAGGGACTGGCTCGGCAGTTGTGCGGAGCGCAGACGCTAGGGACTGGCTCGGCAGTTGTGCGGAGCGGAGACGTTAGGGACTGACTCGGCAGTTGTGCGGAGCGGAGACATCAGGGACTGACTCAGCAGTTGTGCAGAGCGCAGACGTTAGGGACTGACTCGGCAGTTGTGCGTAGCGGAGACATCAGGGACTGACTCAGCAGTTGTGCGGAGCGCAGACGCTAGGGACTGGCTCGGCAGTTGTGCGGGGCGCAGACGCTAGGGACTGCCTCGGCAGTTGTGCGGGGCGCAGACGCTAGAGACTGGTTCGGCAGCTGTGCGGGGCGCAGACGCTAGGGACTGGCTCGGCAGTTGTGCGGGGCGCAGACGCTAGGGGCTGGCTCGGCAGTTGTGCAGAGCGCAGGCATTAGGGACTGACTCAGCAGTTGTGCGGAGCGGAGACGTTAGGGACTGACTCAGCAGTTGTGCGGAGCGGAGACGTAAGGGACTGACTCAGCAGCTGTGCGGAGCGGAGGCGTTAGCGACTGACTCGACAGTTGTGCGGAGCGCAGACACTAGGGACTGACTCACCAGTTGTGTGGTCAGAAAATGGACGGCTGACTTCTGAGATCTAACAAACTCTGGGCTTCCGCCTTGCGTCAATGATGTATTTTTGTGGGTATCATGGGTTTTTAAAGCGTTTTGTTTGATGGAGAATCTATAGATGTTATGTTAAGTTCCCAAAGAGCTACTGGTAACCTGTCCGGCTCTTGACGGCGCCCGTGAATAGCGCCGTCAAAGCGACGGCTGCGATCAGCCGCTCCTGGCAGCCCTGCCCACCCCCGCGGAGCAGAAGGCGGAGACGGACCACGGATGTCCCAGCAACAGTCACCTGTTCCGAGCGATGACGTCACTGACCTGGAGCAAGTCGGCTGTTTCGGCGGCCTTTATCACAACTGCGCTGGCTGTTTGTTTTCTCTGTCAAACGCTGACTGACAGGTATAACAAATTGTCGCCACGGGGTGTCTTACCTCTGCATCCCTATATCTTCGTTCTTAGTGCTTACTTTGTCATCTAACACAAACTTAGGGAAAAGCTCAGCCACTACAGTTCCCTGTATATCAATAAACTATGGGCTAGTCCAAGGGCACCACTGATCCAAAGCATCTTAAATGTCAAAAACAAACCTGCTGTAGAGTTAACGTGTGTTATTAATGCTCCGCCTGCCGGTGGTGCATTTATATAACCCAGCGCGGACATGGGACCCTTGAGACAGTGCTATAACGCTGATGAGAAACGTTTAGCTACAGTCTTCATCATAGGCTCAGGCTGTAATTTTCTCCTGACGGAGCAAGTGACGGAAATAAAGCGGCCGCCCCTGTTGGTCGGAGATCGAAAGGCTGAAAATTGCATACTGACAACTGCCTTCAGGATGTGATATCAGTGGTTCAGCGATTGCCTTCAGCCGCTCAAATGCTCGCCGCACAGCATCACAGCCGTCCTTTCCTCATGTTCATCGCATTTTCGCTGTGTTTCCAAAATCTCCGTAGCGGCTATACTGACCAATATAGACGCCCTAGAACATTCCTCATTGCCACTGGGCGGTATGTAATTTGGGTTAGGATTGTTATTCGACAACGTTTTGACACAACACAGCGTTACAACATTACGTTGTAAAGTTACGTTGCAATCCTACGTTACAGCCTCCCGTTATGATGTTACGTTGTAACGGTACTTTTCAAAGTTCCACTGCAACGCTGTGTTGCAATGCTACATTACAATGTTATGTTACAGCGTTATGCTGCAACGCTATTCGACGCCTTGTCACGTCGGTGTGGTGCTGCGGGTAAGTGCAAGAAAAAGTGCAAGAATCGAGGTGCAGCGCTTTCGTTGGGACGTATTGTATGCAGAAGGATTTAGTTTGCACGCCTAGAAATGATCGAAGTTTTCGTTACAGTAAAAAAGCTCCTATTCGTGGCGGGTTCCGCCCTAATTCAGTTAGGGGCGAGTTTAAATATTCCACTTGTTATCCCCTCTCTCTGAAATATCAGAGACGGTTGGGGTATGTATGGCAGACAGCACGTCGTTTGATTTGTCTCTACATCATTTCATCACGGAACGATTTCAAAATTTCCAATAATGGAACCAGGGAGCGCCAATTTGTGACGCATACTTTATCCAACATTGTTGTCGCGTTTATCGACCGATTTTGGCGCAACCATGGCAGATCTATAAAGAATGAGATCAAGATTGCTGTATTGTAGTGAATTTTTCATCGGCGATTTCACCAGAGTTCCCTCGCAATACCAGGCCCTGGAACCATACCTACACATTGCGTGCATGCCCAAAATTTTGACTCATTGCGTAAGAAAGTTTTTAAAACACATCAGAAAATTTCAGCAATCCGCTCCGAACCGTTTCGGAGAAACTTGATAAATGTTCACGGGCATGGGTGCAGCCCGGGCCTTCGGGCAGAAATAAGACATACAATGAACGAAGCAAATTTGGTTTCCAACGAGCAACACGTATGCTTAATGAGATTGAGCCTGGCGTAATTGTTTTCTTCTTTGACGGCTTCTGACTGGAATGGGGTGAAAGCTCTATTCTGAGAATTTCGCTACCCCCTGAGACCAACGCAGGGAATTTGTGAGACTATCAGCTGTGCATTGCATGCCTTGTCTTACGGTCCTGTGTTACATCAGATGTCCCAAGTGTCGAAGTGCAAGGCAGGCAGGTTATCCAGGTATTCTGGAAGCCCACTATGCTTAAGACAAACTTTCCAGCAATAGTGCGTCGTTATGATCAAACGCTTGGTTAAAAGAAGGGAATCACAAAAATCACCAGAATATGCAATGTCTTCGTAGGTCTACATAGGTAGGCAGGTATGCAACTAAGAAGATGGTTGATGCACCGAATCACTGTAACACAACTGGCAAACCTAAAATCCCCTGCTGTCAACCGAGAGGAGACACAGCGACTTAATTCCTGAACCAGAACTTCGCAAAACATGCATCTCCCCCAAGCCCCGCATTTGGTGTCGAATAAGGCCGCTTAATGCCCCATTCACGAAAGAGTGCGTTTCTCACGGGACGGAGCGTCGCCGGGCGAGACGAGGGACCGAGTGGGGCCCGTCCGCCGTCGGCTGACCGTTGACCGTGACGCGGCTGGCTGGCGGTGCTCCAGCGGCAACCGGCCGCCGCCGCCGCCGCCGCCGCCGCCGCCGCTAGTAAGCAGCGTCTGGCACAGGCCGCGCCGCCGCCAGCATGTCGGCCGGCGCCGCGCGCCCGCCGCCGCGCCCGACCACGCCGCCAGTGACTCGGGGCGGCGCGAGCGCGAGCGGCGCCCAGTGCCGAGCGGGCCGCGCGCCGGCCGCCGCCCAGTGACCGATGCTCGAGACGGCCAGACGCCCGGCGGACGGCGACGTGATGACGCGTAACATGGGCGCCGAGCCCGAGCCCGAGCCCAAGGCGGGCCGCGAGCCGCAGCGGCCGCGCAAGAAGCTCTCGTTCCGCGACCCGGAGATTGTCGGCCGCGACAAGTACCGGCAGGCGCGCGAGCGGCCGGAGCGCGCCGACGGCCGCGCCGACCGGCCCATCATCAAGCCCGGCCGGCCCGAGGGCGAGGCGCGCCGCGACGCGGCCGACGCCGCCGGCCACGAGTCGCCGCCGCCGGTCGACGCCGCCGTGTCGCTGGACGTGATCGCTAACGGTGCCGTCGTGGGCGCCGGCAGTCTGGACGACGTCTCGCTGGAGGTGAGCCGGGTGGGCGCGGAGCGGAGCGCCGGCCCGCGGCGGGCCGCGCGACGGCTTTGGGAGCGGCAGAGACGCCGTCCGTGTCCGGTTGTCAGAGGCTCGCAGGAGGACGTTGTTTAATGTTTGGGTGGGTGAGGGTAGTCGCCAATCCGCAGGTATTTTATTCGGAAAGCGAACATCATTGTGTGTGTCTACGACGTAAGCCTTTGACGAAATGGCCTTGCGCGCCTGTCGCTTCTTTAATCGCAAGTAGGTCGTGGCTCTGATTTATTTGCGGCTCTGATTTAAGACTTACTCTGAACTATCCCGTTAACGGTCAATGGTTGCTGTAACGACGCTTTCTATGGCACATACTTAAGACGAGCCTAGAAATTGCAACAGTACAATGATGCTCATAATGAATGGCATCAGTGTATGAAGGTTAGATGTACGCCTCCCCTCTGCGCCATGACGCCTGCTGTTCTCTGGAGGGTCGAATTCAGCTTAGTGCGCGCTAACAGCGGGCGCGCATGTGACATATTGATAAATTACAGAGTTAGTCATATGCGTTACTTATTGAGCGTCACACTTAAGACTTCGAACCTTGCTTAGACAACCACGCTTTTCTTCTGACAAAGAGCTTGTTGTCATAGTGGGCTAACGAACCGCGGTCCGGAGAGACGGTGAGCTTTGGAACGACGGCGCACTGCAGCCTTTGGCTTAGAATCTGAAAAGAAAGAAGATATTACTATCAGACATATTTGCGTTTGTGTGAGCAGGATCGCCCGTTCTGTGAGGTGGAGTAGCTTCCGACATGTTCCGAAAGATTGATCATTCGTCCAACCGCGTGATCCATTCCCGCAGCGGGAGACTTTTCCCCTCCCGGGTGATTCAGGAGACGGCCGAGCTCTCTGCCCCACCGAATAGTAGCAAACCGGCCGAAGAGTGTAACTACCCACGCGCTGAAAACAAACTGTTTGAAGTGGGCTTTATTCACGCCGAAAGCTCAACAAACACTTTTCTCCCACATTCACTCCAGATAGCATACCGCTTTGACAAGCACCCAGGAAGTGTATGATCGTGGAGAGGTCCGAGGGTTGGCAGGGCAGTACGCTTCGTCATTGACAGACGATAACAACGACAGAAAAAGCAGTGATGCCAACGCTACACGACGGCTGACGACTGGAGGACTCTCACATGGTTCAGCATCAATGGCGCGCTAGCCTCGACGGCATGGGGACTTTCGCCAGGGTGACGTTTGTTTCGCAATAAATGCTCTATAATAAATGCCCTTATTTTAGATTGTGCGTAGGAGCTGTTGCACGATAAAAACAAACGCGTAGAAGACCCAAAACCAGACGCCTAGGTAGAAATCTGCTTATCACAAGCGTTCTCACGAGTCACACCAGTGCCGATTGCACAGAGGCGTAGTTTCGCAGAATGAGTTTGGACGCGGGACTAGACAGTGAAAAATGGCCCACCCTGCCCCAAAATATGCCAACAAACAGGCTTCTTCCCGGATTTTGCAACTTCCTCCCAAAGTTGGGGGGACTGAGGCCCAAGTTGGTGGGTGAGGGGCCCTCCCCCCTCCCAACTATAGGAATCAACACCCCTGCGACTGCATGACAAAAGCGCAACGTGCAATTGACATTGTCCTCCAATAGTCATACGTGTGAAGTGAGCATGACACCGCCTTTACGACAGCAAGGCACAGAGCGAAAATTATGTGCCGGCAGTTAAACGCCTGATGGAACTGCCAAAGAAAATATGGTACACCCTTAGTTGCTTTTATTTCATTATTTCTGACAAGTAAACGCCGTAAGATCTCCTTGGTATCTTCCCTGAGTCTAAAGGTACCCAAACGGGCAACACGGGAGGGGGGGGGGGTGTTGTCCACCGCTGGATGTACGCGGAGTTAGGCGAATGGAAAAGGAGCGGAAATCCTGGCTTTGGAGGCGGACCAGCTGTACAGACCTGCGTCTACCGACCAACCAGTCTCACAGTACAGCGGAGAGCTTTAGCCATTGGTAGGTGGAACTCTGGCGACGCCTCTGAACTACCCTCAGGAACGCCAGTATACGAAAGCTTGGAGACACCTGCAGCCCTTCTCAGGTGCGTTGGCAGACGGAACCCTGGCGGCGCCCGTGGAGCCCCCTCTGGCCCTCTGGCAGACGGAACCCTGGCGGCGCCCGTGGAGCCCCCTCCGGTCCTCTGGCAGACGGAACCCTGGCGGCGCCCGTGGAGCCCCTCCGGTCCTCTGGCAGACGGAACCCTGGCGGCGCCCGTGGAGCCCCCTTCGGTCCTCTGGCAGACGGAACCCTGGCGGCGCCCGTGGAGCCCCCTTCGGTCCTCTGGCAGACGGAACCCTGGCGGCGCCCGTGGAGCCCCCTCCGGTCCTCTGGCAGACGGAACCCTGGCGGCGCCCGTGGAGCCCCCTCCGGTCCTCTGGCAGGCGGGACCCTGGCGGCACGCGTGGAGCCCCTCAGATTCGCTGGCAGGTCAAATCCTGGCGACGTGGTGCGAGGCCTCCTGCCGTCGCCTGGCACACGCCTCGTCCGCGTTTGTCCGGGCGTTTGTGCGACGCCACGGCTCGCCAAGTGGCGCGTGCCGACCGCGCCAAATTCGCCGTTTGGCCCAGAACGCGGCCCGGCCGGCCGCCGACGTGTCACCGAGATCGTCACAGCACAACACGGCTCACAGTGGCAGCCAACAAAGCCACGCGCCACGCCGCGGGCCAGGCGGCCGCCGCCGCCTCCCTGCCAGCGCTCTGCCCAAAGCGGGCCTCAGCAGGCTGTCGGCGCGCCGCCGACCGGCCCCGGGGCCTCGCGGCTGCTTTGACGCTGTGGATACGACCTCGGGGCCGCACCTGCTGTGATGGTGTGGACAGGTCCGCGCGGAGATCTAGAATAATGGTTTGGTGGTTATAAATGAATGTTGGAACCGACCCGACATGCCTCCTCTTTCCTGTCTCATCAAAATCAAGGGTAAACAAAACACGTCTTAATCTGATTGTTGAGAATCACGCTGGTTAAAAGAAAGTCCTCACATCCAGCATGTAGATACATTAATTGGTGCTGCTGTTCTGTAGAAGGGTTGGGTGAAGACATACATGATAACGTGAAACAGACTGGTCTTATCTTCACTGCATACCAGACGTCTGCTGCGGAAGGTCGCATTGTCCCATTCGTTCTCGCGTTCCCGCGTTCTCGCATTTCGTTCTCGCAGCATGTCGGTTCACTGTCAGCAAAGTTGCTGATCCTCGCCGTCCGTTTTCATTTTTGCTGTTGACCCGTATTCATTTATTCCCGTACTGATCAGCTTCTGGCACGTGTCCATCTGTCCGTACCGGTCCGCTGCTGACTTGTGTCCATATGTTTCAGCAGGTTCGCAGCTGATGCGTGTCCATTTCCTCCCTTCAGGTCCTCTACTGACTCTCGTCCATCAGGTCCTTGCATGCCCGCAGCTAACCCACGTCCATGGCGCCGCCAGAGTCAGGCGCTGGAGGTGGTCCGGACCGTGGGCCAGGCGTTCGAAGTGTGCCACAGCCTCGAGACCGGCCTGACGGACCAGACGACTCCGCCCCCGCCGGCGGCGCCGACGCCGCCCGGCCCAGCCCCGGCGCCGGCGCCGGCCGCCGCGCCGCCGCCGGCCGGCCTCGGCCACCCGTCCGACTCGGACAGCGAGCCGAGCAGCACGGACGCCGCCAAGACGCCGGCAGGTACTGTGGCCCGCCGCGGCGAGCGAACAACTCCCATCTCCCGCCGCGGCGAGCGAACAACTCCCATCTCCCGCCGCGGCGAGCGAACGACTCCCATCTCCCGCCGCGGCGAGCGAACAACTCCCATCTCCCGCCGCGGAGAGCGAACAACTCGCATCTCCCGCCGCGGCGAGCGAACAACTCCCATCTCCCGCCGCGGCGAGCGAACAACTCCCATCTCCCGCCGCGGCGAGCGAACAACTCCCATCTCCCGCCGCGGCGAGCGAACGACTCCCATCTCCCGCCGCCGGCGACAGTAGGCTCCCTTCGGAATGGATGCCGGGGCTTAAGTCAAGCCACGCGATCACGCTAGTGGTCTGGGTGGAATACGGGAGGCCTTTACAGATGTCCTTTGCCGATCCGGGACGTCAGGCTCCATGTGTAATGGTGCTCCAGGCTCCAACTCTGGCGACGGAAATTTTACATTAAGCACTGGCATTTGCCGGCAGATCTTGGTACTCTGTGAACCTGCACGCAGACATAGACCACGCAATTATGGCATTTTGGTTACCGGGTATCTTTTTTGTCATAATGATGTCTTTCTTTCTATTCAGTAACATTGTAGACGTATGTGTGCACACAACGTGCGGATCATCCTGCAGAATGTACGTCGTGTACGCACACATGATCAAAACAGTCATGGTATGTCGAACCCAGTTTGTGTTCGCGCGCATAGCCTCAAAGAAATCGTGCGAATTGTAATTGTTATACTGGCGCCTACTGAGCATACTGTAATCACTGCGATAAATAATTTAAAAGAAATGATTACCCTTGAATGGTTATAACGGTAATTTTAAGATGCATGATAATCGTGAATCACATGAAACTATCGTACCTATCATGTAGGAGATAAGACCTACAAGCAGTTTTGCCGTCGTGTACATGATCATTACCGCATGTAACCAAAAAACGCGGGTATAGCTGTGGTCCTACCTTTTGATGGCAATCGTATGAGCAGTCATGATAGGATATGGACACACACACACACACACACACACACACACACACACACACACACACACACACACACACACACACACACACACACACACACACACACACACACACACACACACACACACACACACACACACACACACACACACACACACACACACACACACACACACACACACACACACACACACACACACACACACACACACACACACACACACACAAACGCGAGTATAGCTGTGGTCCTACCTTTTGATGGCAATCGTATGAGCAGTCATGATAGGATATGGACACACACACACACACACACACACACACACACACACACACCACACACACACACACACACACACACACACACACACACACACACACACCACACACACACACACACACACACACACCACACACACACACACACACACACACACACACACACACACACACACACACACGCACACACACACACACACACACACACACACACACACATATACATATATATATATATATATATATATATATATATATATATATATATATATATTCGGACGACCACGGTCGTGCGTGCAGTTTTGACCGACGGCTGTAATTACGTGCAATCGTAGTCGAACAAGTTATAATACCATACAGCCTTTTCACGCAAAGCAGCGAAATAAGGCAAGTTTGTTCAAAGTAGCGGCTTAAAAGCATGCTGCCGTGAAACTTAACACTATTTTGCCACAGCTCTGTCCCGAGCTTGTTTTAAAGGCAAATCAAGCTGGGGGATTCAGACCAGGCGAACTCTGGTTTTCATGAAAGGGATATCTGCACATTTCGCCAATCCTGCAGGGGTGCTGATAGTTGCACAGAGCTTTCATTTTCGGCCTGTTTTTTTAATTAGAAACGAACAATCTTTGTAAGAACCAGGGCTAGATCCCGTAGATTGCAGAATGAGGCTGGCTACAGTATGGACGTCCACAGCTTTATTTATCTATAAAGCTCCTTTTTCAGTCGAGGCTTCCATACCATAAACCATCCCGAAAATTTGCGGTTGTTTCGTGTTGTCTTTTCTTTATTGTCATGTGTGTATGTCAAAAAGAGCGCAGCAAGAGCCTGAAATTGTCAAATTACGCTTGTACGAGCGTGAGGAGAACAAATGCGTGCCGGATGCAAGGATGGCTGAGAGCTTGGCACTGGTGGGAAAGTCTATTTTCAATCTCACATGATAACCATTACCCGTGTACGAGGTAAAGCAAGTTGAGCGTTAGTCAAACCGTCGGAAAAATGTCCATTTTCTTGCGAGAACTACGGCGGATATTGGCACCCCCATATATATATATATATCGTGGAGATCAGATGTGTAGATCGCTTCTTGAGTGATACCTGACGCTATCGGAGATGTAGCAGCAGTGAGTAATAAACAAGCAATAAATGGTGGGTCAGACCGGAACTGCGCGCTTTGAAACATTGTGACAGTAAGGCAGTCAGGAATACAACGACGGAAGTGGAGACAACATGGCTGACTTGACATCTCCGGTTTGCAAAAGAAACTGCGATGCGGTGATAGCCGATCGAGAACAGAGGACATACCGCCCTTTGAATTATACAGGGGCTCATTTACACACGTTATTATAAAAGGTCGGGCTGGTTTTGTTGGCCATGAGCATTCTGCTGTTATCAGTCCGCACTGCATGACTATGGAAGTATTTCAAATATGTTTTGTGCCCATTCAGGAATCACTTGAGTGAATTTAGAAGCGCCCTCAGCAGGTGGTGAGCTATCGCATTTGTTTTTGCCGCTTTGGACTCTACGGTAGAGGCGTAAGTTTAGCCTCATGAACTGGTACAGGCGTCAAACACTGCACAGAGAAAGTGGCGCACGCGCACAAAAGTGCAGGCACGTGTCCCCGGACCGAAGTCATAGGATGTATAATCTGCACGTGACTAACTGTTGACAGTTGAACACTTCTGATTGTCACGTAAAGATAAGATCGGGAGCATCCGGTGCTCTTTTACGGCACCAATAAGTTTTACGCGCCTGCAACGTGCTGAAATCGGTTCTCAGCGGTAATTTTTTAGTTGTGCCCCCTTCCCCCATCGTATCCACGGAACGAAGGGAGAGGCTGGTGCGGTTTTAGACGCCCTTTCGTCATGTCCGAGCTCAGTTTTTCATCACGAGACCGATAAATATTATTCTGGGATCTGGTGGGCAGGAAGACTATTTTGGCTTCAAATACCGAAGACTTTATCATTGGCAGCGATATGTAGAGCCAAACAGCTGTAAGTAACAAGACTAGTGGATAGCCGCGTGAATATGTTCGATGTGCAGCTGCAACAATTGTTTCGGACACCAGGGCAAGGCACCGCGGATATCTCACTGATACGCCACGTACTGTACCCATCAGCGTTTGTAAAGTTTGCTGGTCTGTTCACAGGGCGTAGGTACCGCTCATGGAACTCATAAAAACTGGGACTCGCTGGCAAAAAACACCCCCCATCCCTTGTATTTCATGGCAGCCACTCCCGTCTTAAATTTTGACTGCACCCTTCTCTCCTCCCCCTTTCCTGCCCCCATGTTGAAGCCCCGTGTACGCCCCTGCATGGAGAAGGTCTTCAAGACTTAACACGAGTGATTTGACCGCTCTCACCGAAAATAAAATAGGAGTGCACGATGATTGAGCTAAAACTACAGGTGTATGTAAAGAGCGTCCACTGCTTGGGGCGCGTAGAAACTGTGAATAAGAGCCATCGCAAAAGTCGGGATGACGCGACTACGTCGGTCTAGGCCTCGGACACGTAGGCGTGCAAGGGAGGCTTACGGTAATTGTTCACGACTTTTATAGGATGTTCGTGTCCAAAAAGATCCAGTGTCCAGCAAATTGTGCGTGTTTGGTAATAATGGGTATATACATATATATATATATATATATATATATATATATATATATATATATATAATAGAGACTGGCACCAGTGATGCTTTGAACAGACCGTGATACGCTGCGCTGTGAAGCGGACTGTTCGACAGCGCGTCACGAGCTAGTCACAGGGAACAAGCACGGGCGGTGGAAGTGAGGCAGGGGAACACGTGCGAAGCTGCCCCATCATCTGCCACGCCCTGTGAGAAGTAAAAAATGTTAGAGAGGGCCGTTAGAGTGGTTAGCTACATTGCTTACCCATAGAATCTAGCATTAACATTATGACGCTGCGTAGAAAAAGAATCGCGGGATAGATCCGTTTGCCTAGACCTCCTCCGAGAGGATTCGTCGTCACCGGAGGCAGTGCGAAACGAGACCAATAGACCACAGGCTTATAGGAAATATCCCACTTCTAGATGCATGTCCCTTGCGCGATGCCATGCTCATTATATGCAAAACTATGCAATCTGAGCTGAATCGTCACTTGCATTCACCGCATTTTATGTGATAACGCATATTACTCATATTACGCAGATAACCTGGCCTGTCTTGCTTGTAGTCGGAGCTGATCATGAACAGCAACCAATCAGAACGAAATACGACAGAACTGTAACAAGCACGAAAAGCACATGTTGGTCAAATCCCCGCTCAAATTTGGGAACACGTCTACGCCAATCAAAGCCCAGCTGATAGAAGCCGAAACCTATCCAACATTTTAAAGACGGTTCCGCGCTCATTTCCGCTCTCTTTTCTGTAGTTAAAAACGGCTGTCTTATCTCAAAATGCTTAGCTCCATTCAGAATACATGCATTTTTCAGTGACCTGGTCGGGTGTGAGCTGTCGGCAAAAGGTTAATGCCGCCCAGTTAACGTATAAAATACGGGCCCTGGCTGTGCCGTTCAAAGCATGCGGCAGTGCGCTACAGCCATACCGCACTGCATGCGCGTGCGTTGGTATGCTATGCATTCTGCGAGAGGAAAGGGGTTTAGTTCATGGGATGCCAGCAGATGAACTCCTCCAATCCCACAGTCGCTGCTTTCACTATGCAAGCCAATGGGGTATTGCGACGGCATACAACAAACGAAAAAAATGTACGTGATAAGCCATATCCCGGGAAAAGCCGAATTTACTTTTATTTTCCCCGTTATTTATATCATTCTCCAAATATTTCAGGAAAAGCCGAATACGGTTATACGCGGCTTGGGGTGTGCGTTTAGGATGTTTTGACAGTGACATCAGCAGCCCATAATCATCTGGAATAATTTACGGCGTGCCTGAAGTCTGGCAACAAAACCCAACAGTCACACGGAATATCGACCCACAAAGCATCACGCCAAACAGCAGGAATCTGGAGCGCATACTCCAAGGGCAACGTGTCTTTCCTCACAAAATCACCAACGTTGGCAAGAATGACGCCCGTAATGTGGGACGGCTGCACATCCCCGCAGCCCCGCGCCCTGACCTCACGCACTGTCTGCGAGGGCGCCACCTCCGACCCGTTAGGCGACCACGCTCCCGGCCAAGGGTGCGACCCCCGCCGCCGGGTCCGCCGGGTCCGCCGGCCGCACCCGACACACCAGGTCTAACGGCGCCGCGGTCCGTCTGGTCGGCTGCTGTCCCTGGCAGGCCGCTGGCCCGGCCGGCGCGGTCGGAATGCTCCGCCGCCCACGTGGCTGCCGTGGCGGCGTCGGCCCTGCCGGCAGCGGCGGCGGCCCCGGCGGCCCCAGCCCGCCAGACAGTCGCAGGCGCGGCCAGAGGCGGCGAGCCGGGCGCGCCGCCGCTGCTGAGCAGCTCCGATGAGTCGGACACAGCTGGCGGCCCGTCCACACCCCGGCCGGCGTGGCAGGCTACCCGAGCCTCCGCCGCACCGCTCGAGAGCGGCGGGGGTAACAAACACAGCGTTCTAGACCGCTCTCCGGTGTCACTGACGCGTCGCCGAGACGTTTACCCACTCGCCCCACATCTGCAGCTCCAGCCGTGGGGCGCGTACACCTGCCACTCGGTCTGCCGCTACAGCTCATCCTGCTGGCGCGCCCGAGCCTCACTGGTTGGCTGCTGCCGCTTGCCTGGCCGCTGGACGCGGCCCGCCCCGGAACGCGATGGCAGGCTCGAGCGTGTGCGGTCTGCGCCGGGGGACGGCGCGAGCCACCGCTGCCGGTAGACCTGGGCAGCCGCCGCCGTCGGCGGTGACGCAGCGCCAGCCCGCGCCGGCGGCGGTCGTTTTCGGCCGGCGAGGTTCGATGCCGGTGAGGCCATCCTATACGGCCGGCGTTGATGTTGGCACTGCGGACGCCGGCTGCGGCGCGGCACAGACGCTGGCAGCCCGATCGCGTCGATCGTCCGCAGACGCGACGGCGCCACGCCGGCTCCGGCGCCGAGAGACGAACTCGCCGCAGGACCCGGCGCCGGGAGACGACTCGCCGCAGGCTCGGGAGACGAACTCGCCGCAGGCCCCGGCGGCGAGAGACGAACTCGCCGGAGGCCCGGGGAGGACGGGCCCGCCGCAGGCCCCGGTCACAAAGCCCATCCCGACACCGATCCTCAGCGTCGAGGAGAACCGGGAGTGCAGGTACTCGGCTTTGGGCCACGTTTGCGAGTTCTTAGGCAGCGTCGGACTGGACGAAGCATAAGTGCTCGCTAATTCTGGCCGGTCTTACCCTAAAACCTACTCGTAACAGTCACCACGAGAAGTCTACAATCTTTTGGTCGCCTACAATGGAATTGCAATTATTTCTAGCCACCATGTTTATGCAAATACAATGCCATTGAAAGAGATTCATGGCGAAGTGAAGGTTACCATGTGCTATTTTGCATGGGTCAGTGAGCCTTTTTGGGCCCTCAGTGAAAGCCTTAAGCCACCTGCGTCTTACCAGTGCAGGATCCATGATTTCGTCAGGATGGCCGGAGGGGGAGGGGGGGGGGGGGTGCGGGGCACAACAGCATGACCCCTGCGGAATTTGGATCCCAGCCCAATCTTTCTTAAGATTGATGATATGTTAGATTGTTATGTACACTTTTCGTTAGACGGAAACATTGTGCGCAGTCGGGAAACCAGGCATGGTACGTTTGTGCATAACCTGGAGCGTGCATAACATTGCACCTACGTGGAGCGCGCTAATTTTCTTCACAGCATGCAGCAGAGCAGAGCAATTTTGTTGTTTTGAGTACGATTATTTCGGAGAATATATGACAAAATGAGCTGAAGTTGGCTGGTAAATACCATCAAAAGCAAGCACGACTCTTGATTCCAGGCTAGCTATGGCTAGCCGTTTCTGTTTTGTTTTGTTTTTTGTGTTTAGCCCGCTAGCTGATGTGATCAGCTGACGGCTGGTGACTCATGCAAATGTTTGCTTCCACTGAAACGAAGAAATACAAAATACCTTTGTTTTCAAAATGTGTTTAAGGACGTGATATGCAAGTATAATCAGTGTCAGAAGTAAACGGCGTCAGTGGCGCGTGAAATTGCCTTATGCGATCGGGCACAAAATTCATCGGCGATGTCCGACTGCCGCTCTAAAGTCAAGGCTCCAGGGAGAAAAACCGTCATCGTGCAGGTCTCTGACCTGTGTACATGAAGCAATCTAGCCAGGCCTGTACACTCGAGCGGGCAAAACGCCCTGGCGCTCGCAAACATATGTGGGGCTTTCGGCGACGGAGTAAGACCCGTCGACTTCTTCGGAGGGTCTGCGACTTCATGAGGAGGGGTCCGGAGCGATCGAGAGTATCTCAGCGTACGCCAACAGCGTACGCCGCCAACAGCGTACGCCGTTTCCCGCCAACAGCGTACGCCGTCCGGTGAAGTGGGCAAAACCCAAAACCAATAGACGGTACCTGAGCGATCGGGCAGTCGAGAAAGCCGCGGCAGGTCAACAAAGAGGCTCTCATCAACGGTGCAGGGCCATTCAACCAGACGAAAAACCTAAGACCAATGTGATGGGCCCCGAGATGGCTGGAAGTGCCCGGGCTGGTTAACATCTAGGGCCCCGGCTGGGGCGCAGGGCTCTCCGAGCAAACGGAAACAACCCAAGATCAATGTACATGAATTAATGCCCTTGGGCGGCCGAGACTGCCTTAACAGATGACTGTAGAGTTCCCGACAACATCACTGGGCCCTCCGAGTGAATAGGAAGTGCCTGAGACTAAAGTGATGACCCCTAGGCGATGAAGAGAATCCGAGCAAGTCAACAGTAAGAGCCCCAACAAGACTGTAAGATTGTTCACAAATTATTTGAAATGGAAAGAGCGCTAGGTTATTGAAGAGGACCCCTGAGCATAAAGTGCTTCAATATCTTAATTTCTGTGGGTCCCAGCAACACCATAGAGCCCTCCGAGACAATGGGAAGAGCCTGGGAGCAATGTGAAGGGCCCCTGAGCAACCGAGAGTACCCCGAAAGGCTTACAAATGTGACCCCCGGTAATAGCGTGCAAAGCCCTTCGGATGAATGAGGAGAATTCGGGGAATAATTTAGGGCCCTTGATCGATCGAGGGCGCCTCGGCAGGCTCACATAAGAGGCCCCAACAGCGGTGTAGGGCCCTCCGAGCAAATGCGAACGAATTGAAGGTAACGTGGCTCTTCTGTGGCGGGATTGATCCGGCGAGTGGCGATATAGGAACCCAACAACAGCGCAGGGTCTCTGGATAGCGTAATGGGCCTTGAAACCTTCCCAATCACCACCCTCTAAATCAGCGAATAATTACTTTCGTATGATCATGGGGCCTTTACTTTTGCCTGCGACTGTTCATGGGTGAATGGAAGCCCAAAGGTGTCGAATTTTGATGCATTTTATGTTAAAAGTTGTGTCTGTTCGGCCGGTATGATCTCTCCGGAGCCCAAAGGGCCCATGGTCCCGTGCCCCACCCCTTCTCCCGCCACCTATGGATCCGACGCTGCGTCTCACTGGTCATCACCGGTAACGCAACCGGCCGCCTTCGGCTTTTCTTGGGGACCAACCACAGTAATTTTCGGAAGAGTGAACACTCTCTGTCTCTCCCGGGAATATCTTGTTTTAGCCGCTTCTGCTAGCCTCGTTCTTCCGAAGTTGCCAATCGCTGAGCCCTGGCATACAGTTCAACTCCACACCCGCCCGTCCCCGGAGAAGACACGGACAGACTCTTGGCAGGGCGGCCGGCTCGAGCCGTATTTCTGCCTGCCGGTGACGTCAAACAATGGCTATCACATGACGCCGGCGGCGCGGCTGGCCGCCTTCATGTCCCGGTAGCGCCTCAGAACCGGGCGGCGGCTGCGTCCAGGCGCACGTGGCGAGAGGCCCACCAGCGCAGACGGCGCGTGGGTGGCCGAGGCCCGGCGCCAGCTCCTCAGACTAGACCCGTCCAGACGGGGCCACGACGCCGCCACTCGGTGTTTACGTTGCATTTGACAAACTGATTCGGCGAGCGTGCGGAGGCGTCGGGCCTGGCCGTGTCGGATTTTCGGGACGCTGCCAGAGTGGGGTGAGATGCATGGGGGTATTAAATCGCGTCTCACATCTCATCTGCGAGAGGAAGGCAATTGGTTACTCTGGCGTCGCGCCACATCCACACCAAAATACCCTGCCAACAAATCATGCGTTTCGGCGCGCTTTTTACATTTACTTTGGCTTCGACTGTTTCCAGCCGAGAAGACCTCAGCCTTCGTCGCCGCCGGCGCGGTCTCCCGCCGGCGCGCTGACCCCTCCCCCTCCCCCGCCGGCAGCGCCGACCGACACCTCCTCTGAGCAGCCCAGCGTGGAGACGGTGCCGTTCCCGCTGGCGGCCGAGCCAGCGCCGGAGGCGCGCAAGCCGCCCAAGTCGCCCTCGGAGCGGCCGCGAACCGCCGCCGAGCGCGCGCGCTCGCCGGACGGCCGGACGCGGCCGGCGCGGCGCGACCGGCTCTCGGCCTCGCCGGCCGAGCGCCGGCTGCTGGAGCCGCTGCGGCTGCCGGCGCTGGCCGCCGAGCGCCGGCACCTGCTGCTGGAGGCGCTCAGCGTGCCGGCCAGCCCGGTGGACGCGCGCCGCTCGGCCACCCTCTCGCCCGACGCGCTCTCCTGCGGGCCCGAGCTGACGCTCGAGTCCTCCCACCGCTGACGGGCTCGTCCTCACTCTACCACCAGCTGCAGGCGAGTCAGACGGGGGCAGCCCGGTGATCAGCTTGCAGATGACTTAAATCGAGCTGAATCGCCTAATACACACGTGCTGCTGATTCAACGGCACTTTAAGTGAGCGTTTAGTAAAGCTAAGTCATCATGCCTTAAAGCATGAATTCACACCACTTAGCTTGTCTGAAGAGCGGCCGCCCGTCAGCTGCGCGCCCTTTAACCTGGCATCAATCACACCCCACCCACACTGCCTTACCCCGACCTGTCAGCTGCAGTCAGACGCATCAATCAGCCGCCAGTTGCGTCTGTCAACAAGCGATCGTTCACTCCCGCGAGCCGATGCCGTCAGGGCCGCGGTGACCTGACCCCGCGGCCGTGCTGCAGCTGATGCGGGAGCGGCTGGTGCAGCAGCAGCAGCAGACGCAGGCGGCGCTGGCTCAGGTGCACCTGGTGCGGGATCAGCTGCAGGCCGAGACGGCCGCCCGGCTGGAGGCGCAGGCGCGCGCACACCAGCTGCTGCTGCACAACCGCGAGCTGCTCGACCACGTGCAGCTGCTGGTCGGCGAGCTGCAGGTCATCGAGGAGCGCGACGCCGTCCGGGACAAGGTCGGCAGGGGTGACGGTTGGGTCGGCAGCGGCCATAGCTGTGTCGGCAGGGGTGATGGTTGGATCGGAAGAGATCGTAGCTGGGTTGGCAGGGGTGACGGCTGGGTCGACAGTGATCATAGCTGGACCGGCAGCGGTGACGGCTGGGCCGGCAGAGATCATAGCTTGGTCGGCAGGGGTCATAGCTGGGTCGATAGGGATGACAGCTGGGTCAGCAGGAGTGACAGCTGGGTCAGCAAGGATCATAGCTGGGTCAACAGGGGTGATGGCTGGGTTGGTAGGGATCATAGCTATGTCAGCAGGGGTGACGGCTGGGCCGGCAGAGATCATAGCTGTGTCGGCAGGGGTCATAGCTGGGTCGGTAGGGATGACAACTGGGTCAGCAGGAGTGACAGCTGGGTCAGCAAGGATCATAGCTGGGTCAACAGGGGTGATGGCTGGGTTGGTAGGGATCATAGCTGGGCTGTCAGGGTCATAGCTGGGTCGGTAGGGGTGACAGCTGGGTCAGCAGGGTGACAGCCGGGTCAGCAAGAATCATAGCTGGGTCGGTAGGGGTGACAGCTGGGGCGGGGGGTGACGGCTGAGTCGGCAGGGATGGCGATGGCAGGAATCATTGCTAGACCGGCAGGGGTGACGGCTGGGTCGGCAGGGATCATAGCTGGGTCAGGAGGAGGGAGGCTGGGTCGGGGGATCATAGCTGGGTCGGCAGGGATCATAGCTGGGTCGGGGGATCATAGCTGGGTCAGCAGGGGTGACAGCTGGGTCGGCGGGGATCATGGTGAGTGGCGGGGATCATAAGGGTCGGCAGGGATCATAGCTGGGTCAGCAGGGTGACGAGGCGCGGGTAGGGCTCATAGCTGGGTCGGCAGGGATCATAGCTGGGTCAGCAGGGAGTGAGGGGTCGCCGGGCTCATAGCTGGGTCGGCAGGGATCATAGCTGGGTCGGCAGGGATCATAGCTGGGTCAGCAGGAGTGACGGCTGGGTCGGCCGAGCTCATAGCTGGGTCCGCAGGGATCATAGCTGGGTCGGTAGGGATGACAGTTGGGTCGGTAGGGATCATGGCTTGGTTGGCAGGAATCATAGCTGGGCCGGCAAGGATCATGGCTCGATCAGCAGGGATCATGGCTGGATCAGAAGGAACCATAGCTAGATCGGCAGTAATCATACCTGGACCAGCAAGGATCATGGCCGGATCGACAAGGATCATAGCTAGATCGGTAGGGATCATAGCTTGACCAGCAGTGGTGTCGCTGGACCGGCCGCGGCACGGTCGAGGTGGGCTCAGCGACTCCCCGGGCAGAGATGGAGCTGCCCTGAAAGCTCGGCTGATTTGGAATGCTAGTCATAACTCTTTTTTTGGGGGGGGGGGATTATTGGTGTGTGTGGAACGATTCGGTTGCGTTAGCATGACACCGTTGGGTTCGCACTTGCACTGTGAACCAGCTTCAGGTCCGGCCAGCCCGTCGATGAAGAAGACCCCCCCCCCCGCTCTTAACCGCAGTTAAGGCCGTTATGCTGCCGTAGCAATTCAATATTGTGGTATGTAGAATGTAAACTGTCTCAACCACCAAGACCCCCAGACTGCAATCGAAGGCGTGTTACTGCCGAATCAATCCGGTATCATGTATGCAGGATGTACATTGCTTCAAACACCATTGGAAGCGAAATGTATGTTACGGACAGCCACTTCAATGTTTTGGCAAGCCCACAGGGCCGGCTTGAACGATGGGGCCCGCTAACGGCAGCTGTTGACACACCCGTCAAATATTTGAACATTAGGAACCGTCCAATTTCCCCAATGCTTCGTCTTCTTTTTTCTTAATTATCTTGGGGATGCCAAATCCTGTTTATTTTCTCGAGTCGCTGACGTCATGCGCAGCCTCGACCATCACGTCAGCATCCTTGAGGCCCCTTCCGGCACCGCCCGACTCGCCGAGTGCTCATGCAAAAGAGATTCCCGGCGGGGTTGGCAGACGGGTTCAGTTACCGATATCTGCCCATTGGCGTCAGCATGCGGCGCGCGGCAGCGACTCGATGTAAGATGATGCGCAATTTAGCGCCGGGAGGTGTTGAGTCTGCGTCACGTGCCTCCCCCATCATCTTTTCAGCCATAACTGATGAATTGCGGCCGACTGACAAGCTGTCTGTGCATTGTCTTGCGGGTCAGCCTATACGGTGGCCGACCGGCGCGCCGTCAGCTGTCTGACAGCGCGCCGGCCCAGGTGAGCCCTGCTAGCTGACGGCGCCCTCTCCCCTGCCGTGGCCTCCAGGTGACGTGCGACGACGCCGCATCGCCGGTGGCCAGCTCCACCAGTCTCAGCTCCGACGAGGCCAAACGGTCGCCGGCTGAGGAGGCGTCGGTGCGACTGCTCCGCGACTTGGAGCGGCTGAACAGCGCGCCGGCCGGCGCCACCCTGCCGCGCGCCTCCCGCGCCGGCAGCGAGCGCGCCGCGCACGCCGCCCGCCCGGCCGTCAACCGGCACGTCAGCAAGTAGGCTCGCGCGCGCGGGCCCAGCAGTGGTCGGCGCAGCGGGCGGCCGCCAGGCGGGCGCGGCCGCCGCGAGCGTCAGTGTGCCGCGTCAGGTCCTGGGGACTCGCTACAAACGCCCGTGCTAGGCGCGCCTCACCGGCGAACAGAGTACCTCTGGATCAGCGAATCAAGTGTGTCGGCGGGGCGCGCCCCGCCCGTGTACAGACTACGTGCCTTAGTCGTAAGACCAGTGCTAGTCAGCGGGCCGACGTGTCGTGTCGGACCCCGTCCCCGTCGCCTGCCGTGGTCCCTTCGGCGCCCCGCGACCGGGCCTCGCGCCCTCCACGTCGCTCCGCCGTAGAACCCGTTCACGTAGCCTGTCCAGCTCCCGTTTTTAATATGAAGGTTGTGAAACAAATAATAACCGGAAAAGTGTCCTATTGTTTGCCGCCGTCGATTTCGCTCGCCCGGGGCGAGGCTCTTAGGGCCTGAGACACGAGTGACACCGCGACCGCGAGTAACATCCACCGCAGAGGGCACGGCGGGGCGGCGGGCGCGCCGCGCGCCGACGGCGGCGCCGGTCACGCCGGCCGCGCACAGAGGTCACAGAACACACACCAACGCGCACGAGACAACACAGAGCGGAGCACGTCGGAATGACGGCGCGCGGCGGCGGCCGACGCGCGGCCGCCGCATGGCGCGCGCTCACACGAAGCCAAAGTTCTGGTCTTGATGGCGAGCAGCAGCTTGGAGCGCAGGATCAGCTTGCTGGAGTAGAGCGGCACATAGAGGCGCGCAGATGCAGGTGTGGCCGTCGGCAGGTGGTGGTCGTCGGCCGGTCGGATCGTCACAGACGGCATGGGCTGGAAGCCGTCCTCGCTGGCAGGCGCGCCGGCGAGCCCGTCCAGAATTACACCTGAGGCGCCGGGGGGTCAGGTCAGACGCCGGCGCGGCCAGTGGTGCATGCGAGCAGATAGGCGGCAACCCACAAGTGGCCGGAACAGCCAAGAGTGCGTTCGAGCAGGTGAGTGAGAACGTGCGGCAAGTCATCCTGCGCCGTCAAATGGAGCGAGAGGGTGCTATAAAGTTAGGTTGCGAGTGAATCGACACAAGCAGACTTGGATGGCAAGATCCGTATCAATAGAGCAAGGCGCTGTAACACGGACTACCCCCGCCTCGGACGAAACTGCTTCAGTCCATTCTGCGTCAAGTGGATGGAGCATGCTACCTCGTTACACGCCAGTCTGCTGACCGCCTCCCCTTGCTCGATTTGAGACACCGTCAAAGTCACCATGGCCCTCCCCGCCCATTGGGAACCAAGTGTTCGCCATGCACCGGCGCCCGCGTGCCAAAGCGGAAGTTTGGTACGCACCAGGTCCTGCTTCTCGGGCTTGGTCATCTTCTCGACAATCTGCCACAGCCAGCGCTTGAAGCGCACCAGCCGCTCGCCGGCCTCGCCGCTCTCGTCGTTGAAGCTGGTGTAGGAGATGAGCGTCGGCACCGAGATGTCCTCGACGCCGTTGACAAGCAGGCGGAGGTCCTCGGCCGTCAGCGGGGTCCAGCACCGACTGCGGCAGCACATCCAGCAGGCCCGAGCGCAGCGCCTGCGGGCGTCAGCCAGCCACCGGTCAGCCCCGCCCGGGTGCCGCACCGACGCCGGGCAGTCCAGCGCGAGAGTAGATGACACGGGCCCAACGGAGTCTGCCAAGCCGGCAGAAAAAAACAAAATCGACGACGGAGAGGGCAACGCGGTGCCCAGTCAGCCATCCCCAAACCAGGGCCAAGAGTGCCCAAACACGTGAGATCTATGGCCACCGGACACCGCTAGCCTTAAGGGCACACTTCTCTGTCAGCTGCCGTCAGTTTCAGCGCCAGCCACGACGCATCCCACACACCATACACGAGTGGCGCTGCGCCCAACCGCCGAGCGCGGCGCACGGTCCGGCGGCCGGCGGCGCCACCTCACCTCCAGCGCCTTCTGCTGGCACTTGACCATACGCTGCAAGGCGTAGCGGCGCACGTAGTCGTAGACGTTCTGCGAGGTGACCTCGATCTCGGCGCCGCGGTGCACCAGGTCCACCGTGCAGCCGCCCTCCTCCGGACACAGGTCAATGCTGCGGGGCCCGTCAGCAAGGCTCGGTAAGACGACGGCCACGCCGGCAGCGACGCGGCGACGGCACAGGTGGTGACATGCGACCGAGTTTACGTGAACAGTCAAGAGTCTGCACCCGCTCCATTTAAGGCGAACATCAGGAATCTGATATGCATTCTGAGAATCTTACTTAGTCAGTGGACACAACCAAACGCATTGAGAATCATTCGCATCACCTGCTCAGCTATGCTGCACCAGCATTTCAGTCTGTCAATATTCGGCCTTTGACGTGATTGCATTATGCTGTAACTGAATTAAGTCGCACACAGGTTGACGAATTCGACGGTTAGATGCCAGCCTACCCGTCCCCAACCATCAACAGCCACTAAGCCGCCCGTCTGCCGACCTGAACGTGAGATCAAGTGCCGAGAAGAGTCCATCCTTGTCGCCCTTGGTCTCGGCGTCGACCACCAGCTGCCGGAGCGACTCGTAGATGGCCGGGTCGAAGAAGGCCAGGTCGTGGAAGCGCACCGGCCGGCCCAGCAGGTATTTGTACACATGACGGCACATCGAGATCGGACTCAGCTCGTTCTGCAGCAGGCACAAGCCCATGATGCGGCCCACGTTGCGGAAGGCGTTGATGCGCTCGGGCGTGGCGCGGCCGAGCCAGGGCGCGTAAAAGCCGCGCTTGCCCGGGCAGTAGAACAGCGGCGAGGCGTCGCGCTCCTCGGTCGCCTCCTCCTCGCTCGCCTGGCGCGCCGCCGCCTTCGGGCGCGCCTTGTCGCCGAGCAGCGACTCGGACGCGGCCGCCTCGCGGCTGTGGCTGTGCAGGATGTCGACCCGCCTCCTCGACGCGCTGGCGCAGCGTCTCCTCCGACGCCAGCAGCAGCAGCAGCTGCGCCGGCGACAGGTCCAGCAGCATGCCGGTCACCTTCTGCGCCTGGTGCGGGCGCAGCGCGCGCACGCGCGGGTACAGACGCGCGCCCAGCTGCTGCAGGTGCGGCGACAGGTGATCGTTGGAGCGCGCGTCGCTCAGCTGGCCGGGCGTGAAGGGACGCGCGTCGCACGAGAGCGTGCGCCGGCCCTCGCGGCCGCGCGCCAGTCGCTGCTGCGATGACTCGCGGCTGCTCTTGTACTTGTGGTGGTACGACGAGAAGGCGTACGTCTTGCCGAGCTGCACGATCTGGCAGCTCTCCAAGTTCGGCAGCGGCTTGGGCTGCAGCAGCGCCTCGGCGATGGCCGTGTAGAAGCTGCGCGCCACGCCCGTCCCCTCGCCCGGCTCGTCCTTGAAGGTGACCTTGACGCGGCTGAAGGCCAGCGGCGGGTGCGAGACCGTGCTGCGCCGGCTGTTGTTGCTGTACTGCGTGTTCAGCTCCTTGAACGTCTGCGTGATGAGCTGGGCGCGCTCGCGCTCCATCTTGTTGAAGACGATGTCGCGCTGCTGCGAGGTGCGCAACTTCTCCATCTCGCGCCGGAACTTGGATTCCTTAACGGGGAAGCCACCCAGCTCCGAGATGACCGAGCCCTGCTCGAGGCCCACGTCATCGATAAACACGCGCGCGAACAGATCGAGCAGCAGATGCCAGCGGCCGAGCAGCATGTCCTGCGAGACGCCGGCGTCGGCGGCCGGCGCGCCGGACCCGCCCGTCTCCGCCGGCGCCGCCTGGCCGGACGGGCCGGGCCGCGCGCCGTCCGCCGCCGCGCCGCTCTCCTTGTCGATGTGCACCATCATGGCGCCGACGCGCACGATGACGCTCTTGACCGGTTGCCGCTCGCCGTCGGCCGGTTTTCTTGGGCGATACGATGATGGGCGCCCGCTGCGGAGGCGCGCCCTCCTCGGCCGGCCGCGTCGACAGGTTCTGCGGCTGGTCGCCGTCGGCCGGCGGCTGCAGCGCCGCCGGGCCCGCCTCCAGCAGCCGGTCCACGTGGCCCAGGCCCTCGTTGAGCAGCTCTGGCTCGGCGCGCGCGCGCGGCGAGAAGGCGGTGCGCGCGCCGCCGGCGCCGGCGCTTGGCCTGAAGCTGGCGCCGCCAGCGGCCAGCTCGCCTGACGGCGAGGCCAGCCCCAGGTGCGTGGGCACGCCCTGCAGCGGGTGGGCGCGGCCGGGCGGGCCGGCACTCGGCGCCGCCGGCGGGATGCCGAACAGGTCCTCGCGGCGCGCCGTCGGCTGCAGCAGGTGCGGCCGCTCGGCCAGCGGCAGCACCTCGGACAGTGAGCCGGCGAACGGGTCCCGGCTGCGGCGCGCCCACGAACAGCGTCGAGTCCGAGCGCTGGAAGAAGGGGTGGCGGCGCACGCGGCTGTCCGGCGCCGAAGCCGCCGACAGCTGCGAGTCGTCGTCCGTCACCGAGTCCGTCTCCATCGGCGCCGGGTTGTTATTGGTCACGTCTGACTCCGAGTTGTCGTCGTTCTCGGTCTCGTCGGCCGGCTCCAGGTCGAGCAGTCGGTCGGCCGCCGACTCGGGCCCCACCTTGGCCTCCGAGCCCGAGCGCATGTAGTAGATCAGCGCGTCGAATACATACGCCACGTGGCGCAGGGCGGCGATGTCGATGACGGGCAGCGCCTCGGCGTGCTCGCCGTTGTGCGAGCGCATCAGCGACAGGCAGTAGGTGAGGAAGTCGCGGCGCGCCGTCTGGTGGTCGGCGAACGTGACGCCGGCGCGGCCGCGCTCCTTCCGCGCCGGGCCCGGCCCGCCGGCGGCCGGCGCGGCCGGCGCCGTCGGGTCGGCGCGAGACAGCGACTGGCCGAAACGCAGCTGCGCCTCCGTCGAGTCCATGACAGCCAGCAGCCAGCTCCAGGTGGGCTGGAGGTGCTGGTCCAGGTAGAGCTGCAGCCGCGGCCAGTCGGCGGCCAGCAGGTCGGCGCCCAGCGCGCTCAGCGCGCCCAGCGGCAGCAGGCCGTCCGGCTGGCCGCGCTCGCGCGCCGTGCTCAACAGGTCGGCTATCTGGCGCACGACCAGCGCGAAGGCGCGCGCCAGGCACGAGGCCGTCGTCGCCATGGTGACCGGCTCGGGCACGCTCGTCTGCACCGACGACGGCACGGCGCTGGTGGTGAAGCGGCGGCTGGCGCTCGGGTCGATGTACACCAGGCTGCTGCCGCCGCCCGTCACGCCGCGAACTCGCCTCCTGCGAGCGCGACCGGATGGCCCACTGCATGCTCTGCGGCGTCAGGTTGGCGCGCGTGCTGGCGGTTCCGGCGCCGGCGGCGCCCGCGCCGGCCGCCGCGCGCCGCTCCAGCTGGTCCTCGCTGAACAGCTCCGTCTCCTGGTCGTCCGTCTCGCCCTGCTCCGAGTCCTCCTCCTCGTCCTCAGCCTCGGAGGGTGAGCCGCTGCGGTCGTCGCTGAAGAGGCCGATGCTGGCCAGGGGCGGCGTCCGAGCCAGCAGTGGCGCGCGTCTGCACGCTCTGCTGGCCCGCCCGACACGTTGTCCTGCGCCGACTGGTTGTCGTCCGAGTCCGACTCGGTCTCGGCCAGCAGGTCCAGCTCCATGTCCGACTCGCCGCCGCCTTCCTCGCGGTCCGCCCGGTCGGCCGCCTCCTCCAGCTCCGAGCCGCCGCCTGCCGGGCACGGGCAGTCCGGTCACGCGCCGTGGCCGACGACCGACGACTAGCAACGGTCACGCGCGGGTGCGTG